TCAATGTGAAGTGAAGTGTCAGGACCATGTTCTCAAAAAATGGTAGAGAATTCAAGCACTGAGTGAGAGGAGTGGACGGTTTTAAGTCTGGATGTAAAACATTTAAAGCTCTGCTTTGTGATTTGCAGCTCACTGCTGCTCACTGCCAGTACAAGCTGTTCCTTCAGCTCATTATTAACAATCTTATGCACTGCATGAAGCATGTGACCATGTAATTATATGAAGTCATGATACTGTTTCCAGAGGCATCCTTGGTTCTGGAAGTTCCTATCTTAGGAATCCTTGGCACTGCAGCATGCTGGTCGCATACATGTAGTCCAGAACCAGGTGGCAAAGTTTAAGCACTCTGTGCTTGCTGAACCAACCCTAATGTTCAGCCAGATTCCCTGCAAGACACTGATAGAGTTCACACTTAAAGAAAATGGGAGTAGGAAGTCCTGTCACTTTCATCACCAGACTGTACATGGTCTGTGTCTGGTACTTCCACTTTGCACTGCTGCAGCAAATCTGGCTGGGGGTATTGCTCCTACAGCTCACAAGGAATAGCTGTGTGAAAGACGTTTTGGAAAGTAATTGTAGCTGCAAGGATGCTGCCTTCATTTACTTTCTGTTTGCTTTCATTTTCACAGCACTGAGTTTGTTTTAGCTTATGAAGCCTTCCTCTGTTACCAAAAAAAAAAAAAAAGGACACAGTTAAAAGACCTGGTTTGTCCCCCGTAACACCATCACTGTTTCTCCCAAACACCCTTGTCCCAGAAGCAAGAGTCTTCTGTCTTCTGCAACAATGCTGACTGTCCACATATGCTCAGCTCCCCATTTAAATGTGTATGATCTCTTTTCCACCAGCTTTTCAACTAGAGGAGAAGCATTCACATTCAGCCAACTACACACTTTTACAAAGCATTGAGATGTACAGCCTGTCCGAGTGAAAACATGCATGAAAAAAATCTGTCATGCATGCAACTACTATTATGCACTAAATAGAAATCAATATTTAAGAAGGAATTAGTGGTCCAGGTTTTAGAATACTAAATATCAGTTAATCAGTTCATGTGCTTCATGCATACCTATAGTGTTCCATTTTGCAAAATTCAATTATAATTACCCCCAAAGCTGTCTGTCAGAGTTAATAATAATTCCAACTTTCAATGTAATTTTCAAATTGAATTTTCAGTCTTTGAAACTGTTTTCACCTGTCTTATGAAAACACTGCTGTCTTGATAATAAAAATAAAAATTTTTTTTTAAAAAAAGACCATATAGGGATTTATGTGAAAATGGACTATCACAAAGAAAATAATCATACCAAGAACTTCGTCCCTCTTTCTTCTCAGGAGTTCTCAGCTAGGTGTTTTGGTAACAGGGGTCAGGGCAGTGCCAGAAGCACTAAAACAAAAGCCAGGTTTTCAGAATGGGGAAAGGAGAGGAATATACAAACCTGATTTTATCATCTCATAAAAAAAGTCCACCTAGCCTTATATCCTGTCCTTAACAAAGGCCAAAACAGAGAGCCTAAAGCAGTTACAACTTGGACAACATATGTGATTATTTCCACTCAGCATCCACCTCATCTCCAATTTTGTACAGCCTAAGGAATTCTGAACTGTGATTTGGTTTTTATGTATTTACCAATCCTCAGTTCATCTCTCTTTTCATTTTCCCTAAACACAGCTGAAATTTAAGCATCCAGAATTCCTCATGGCACAGAGTTCCACAAGTTACCCAGATGTTGTACAAAGGTGTCTTACAAAGAGCCAGGCCTCCTCCTAGTATCACCTGATGATGCCCATTTCTTAAAATGTAAATAATAAATAACATCTGCAGCTTGTCCACTCTCTCCAGCCACCCATGATCTTTTTAGTATCCTGGTCTGACCTCATAAGGGACCCCGCTTTAAGGAGGAGGTTAGATCTCCCAAGCCTCCGAGATCTTTTCCAAGCTGAATGATTCTATGGTTTCACAGATCTCTGTACATTCCTCTACAGGTTTTCTTCTTCCATCCAGATGAATTCCAGCCAATTTGATTGTTCCTTATACAGAAACCAACTGGGCTTTTTGCTCAGAGTTCATCACTGTCTACAGATATTTAGGACTGACTTTCTTCAGAGCTCCCAAAAGTTCACTCTTCTATGGGAAAAATAGCTGAAGCACAGAGATTGCAACCCATTACTGGTGAAGGATGCAAATTTTTGTAAAGTTTTTGAAAGAGACCTTATCAGGCACTCAGGTATTGAAGCACACAAGGCTGTTAACACTCCCTGATTTCAGGAGCACCACTGCTGAGTAACATGAGCTTCTTCACAAGCCCAAAATCAGTGGCTGGCTACAGAAATCAATGAACGGGGAAAAGTGGGCACCTAAAGAGTGGAACTCACAAACATCCACATACTGAATAAGTAGGGAGAGTCAACACAAAGTCCTAAAGTCTAGGCATGTGTTCCAGCTCTCAAAAAATATTTTCCTTCTGACTTGACACTAGGGAAGAAGTAGGAGCTCTAAGTGAAAATCCTCCTTCTCCATGATGAAGAGCAACAGGAGTGCTGTAGGCACAAGCATCTGCAAGGGAGAGTGTTGCCCCTTTTCTCCAAAAGCACACAGCCAGTGTATGAGCTAGGACTGGAGCAACAAGAGTCCCGGCTGAGTGTCCCCACCTCCACATGAAGTTTTCTTCTTGTCTAGCAAAACCATTTGTCCTACAAATCAGCAGTGACCTACACTGCACCAATTGCTTGGCACAGCACTGTTGTGATGGATATGCTAGAATTTCACATCAGATTACAGACAGGCACTGTCCTGTAAATCCCATGATCAAAAGTCTCTTTTCCTGGAAACAGATTCCTAGGAAGTTTTCCTAATTTATACAAGTAAGTTTGGGGTATCATTCTTTTCACACTCCCTTTTAACACATAAGCAGACAAAGTATATACCAGAATTCATCTTCTTCTATACAGTAGAAAACTGTGTATTTACTTCTCTTACTTTCAAAAGCAATTTATCAAACGTTAAGCCATTGTGAAAACCCCAAAAACACCATAGCTTGTAAAGTCTTTGGTACATACCATATTGAATAGTCTGCTCACCATGGAAGCTAAGCAAATATAAGGCAAATTCAGTAGATTTCATTCAGGAGGCAAAGGGATTTGGTTAACATCAAATTCAGTGGTCACTAATCCTACTCTCACTGTCCTCTTCTGCCTAAGCAACACAAATATTTAAATTCTCCAAATGGTAAAGTTCAGCATCTTGAGCCCTATTAAATCTTATAAGCCAAAATAAATTTCATTTCTCTGATTAAATAGAAAGTATTTACAAAGATCATAAATAAATAATGTGAGTTTTTCTTGTTCTCTTTCATTCTACCTGATTAAGCACCTTTTACTTTGACATCATTCAGAATGATGTTTTCGCTACGCATTTTCCTCCAAAATAAAAGGCAGTCATTTTCCTTCTTTTCCTTCTTTCTTCTGGAGTATTTCACACCCACTTTTGCATCTCTGCAGTAAACAGCACTGAAGACAGTGGGCACAAAATGGTGTCATACGTGCTGGCCACCATCAGACTTGGAATATTTGAAACTACAAAGCTGGGGGCATGGGTAAGTTCAGTAAGACAAAGGACAAGTCTTCAATTCAGTCATGAACCAATTGATGGCAGGAGAATGCTGAGTCTCAGAGCCCACCTGAAGTTTAGTAGGTCACCCCTCCTACTTTCAGATACAATTATTCACTGCAGCTCTCTTCAAAATAACCATCTCTGAATAATGCCCAAGAAGAAACACCATCATTTGAAAACAAAGACCACTAATGCATTTGCTCATGTTCTAAACCAGAAAACAATGGCTAACTTTGAAAACAGCACAAAAAAGAAAACAACTTTGAAAGCAATAAAAGGAAATGCAGCACTTCTAGAGCACAGGTCTCTCTGCTGCCTTCTAAGGTAGCTGTGAAGATGATGAAATCACACTGTTGCATAAGGAAACACAACAAAATGAGAACTGAGACCTCTGCCTCATGTCACTACCCTTCTGTGTACAACAGCAGGCCGAATACTAGTTGAGCCATTTCATCAGTTAGATCAAAACTTTGTATCACTGCTATACAAGTTTCTTCAGAAATCACACTATCACAGGGAAAAAAGTTCAAAGGTAAGGCTGTTATTTTGCTTTATGAGTAACAAAAATTTATAAATGATAGAAACATCACTGAAAAAGAATACATGTCCTCCTAAAAGCAAGGCACACTGCCACAGGAGTGAATTACAGATATTTTTAACATGGTAACTGTGGCTGTACAGAAAACAACTACCTTAACCATTTTAGTTTCTCATTTTAACAACAATAAAACACCATGGGAAACAGATGCGAGTTATGCAGTATCCTTTTCACCAATGTGCTTGTGCCATGTAAAGTGCATTTACAATGAGGAGAAAAGAATTTAAATCACTGCATACTCAATCCCAGAGGCTGCTGCTCAGATTAATCTTGACCCAGAAAAAGAGCCAAGCACATGCTGAACTTTGAGTAAATAAATAGTCCTAGCTAACTGTCCTATCACAGGGCCCCTCACTTTCATGACAAATGATGTACAGCCTGTCTCCAAAAGAATCAACAAAAAAAGCCAGCCTGGCATGGCAGCAGCAAGCCCTATTTCATTAGCCCTGCGCATAATTACAACATGAACTGATTACTTCTAACTTCCTGCTGCAGGAGCTACCATCTGAATTTACAGAAAGCCATGCACTTTGGAATAAAGACAAAAACATTACCTCATATTTATAGCAAGGAAGGAGCCTACACATCAGGAGCTACTGCAGTTAGCTGACTGAGTTCACACTTTTGTCACAAGCAGCTTGCCTGTACACCCACACGTTAAGGTGTTAATAGCCTTGCTATTCATAAGTTGTTGGAATTTTGTTTTGCTTCGGTCTTTTTTATCAACCTAGATTTGTAATGAACTGAAAAATGAAGAAGAATTAGGAAAAGAAAGAAAATAATAATGTTACCTGAAGGCCTTCTATGGCTAATCTGAGCATGCTTGGTGTGAGCTTGGAGGCCTGCTTAAAGGTGAAGTTGCTCCAGTCTATAATCAAAACAAATCCATTCACTTGCAGCTCGGGGTCTTCTATCATGGCTTCTAAAGAAAGAAGTATGGCACGCAGAATATCCACCAGTGTGTACCTGAGAATGGGAAGAGGAGATTTGGTTAGGAAAGAAGCAACAACCACAGAGATGGAGAAATTCTGAGTAGTCTCCCTTTTTCAAAAGTTTAAATCAGAGTGCAAATGTCTCCTCAGAAGTGCCTGAAGCTGGGAAATCCTCAAAAGCTCAATTCGTTGAGCTCATCTTCTGGAGTAGGATCATGTACCTATAGACCATCAGCCAGCCAGAACAGACTACAAGAATGTAACACATCAAAAACAAATTTGAAATTTGCTGTAGTACCCTAAGCTGCCTTAGTATCTTTATGTGGAATTACATGTCTGTATAATAGCTTCTACACAAATTGTATTTTTCTAAAATCACAAGGATACCAAACCTGAGACTAATACCAGAAGCATAGATCCAAAGTTTCCTCCTATATTTTCCTAAGGAAATGAAATAATAGGTCCTAAAAAATTATCAACTAAAATTGGGAATTTCCACATGCTCTCCATCATCCCACTCTCTGTGTAATTTTTTCTCTAAAATCCACAAGTAGAGACGCCTGATTATTCAAGGATCTTAAAAGCAGAAGGTAACACACACTAGGGCTTTGAGGTGATCATTTACTGAAGGCTCCCTTGCTTGTGGCAGGAGGATTAGAACTGGATGATGTTTGAGGTCGTTTCTAACCCAAACCATTCCAGGATTGTAAAATTTTATAAACAGTTACCAAAATAGACATAAACACAATATGAAATGAGGTACTAGAAAGTTAAACCTGAAAAATATCAGAAATACAAATATTCCAGAAATTAAAGAGTTAAATATTCAGTGTACAGATATTTTTTAAGCAAGGCCCTTTAAATGTCTCCCATGATGGCATCAAACAGAAGTTTTCAAAAATGTGAGTCCCTGGAGAATTCTTCACAATTCTGCATATGTAGAAAGGAGCATGTGTGCCTTCTTAGAAATTAAATCAAATTATACTGAATTTGACTTACTTTAATACAATGAGTACACTGCTCTGTTGTGGACATAACTATATTTTGAAAATATCTGCAAAAGGAAATAACACAAATGAAATTAATCTGTTGTAGCTGACTCCTCACATCTTTCCATCTTTGTTTATTTAGCCAACTAAAACTCAGTGAACTTCCCAATTATGCATTCATAGGAAAGGGATATAATGTCTGAGCAGGAGAAAGTGTCTTTTCCCCAGAAAACACTAAAATAATTTTGTAAAGACAAAACTCTTCATTTTGGAGATACTGGGTATTTTTTTTAAATTTTGTTTGATTGACAGGGATAAAATGTTTCATATTCACTCCTTTGAACTTTTCTGAGATTTTGCTCTTTTCTAATGCTCTACTTTTCTGAGATCTAAGGTTTACAGGAAGTTTGGAATGCCTTGGTCTGAAGACAATTTTGACCACAGCTCATACATGGAATAGACATTAAAAATATTCAATTCTAAAATTAGCCTCCACCCCACCTGACATTTAAGTTGTCCCATTTCTCCAGAAGGACTCCACAATGCAGAACCTTACATTCAGTCCCAGAATAAGGGTCCCAAGTTCCAGATGTACATCTCTAATGTTCTCCCTAAGGAGCTTAAGGAGACTTCACGTGCCTTGGATTAACAGCTTCCTAGTGGCACAAGTTTGCTAGAAATCTGGTACATCAGACATAAAGATTCTTTGTATATGAGGTCAGTCAGCTCTCTAAGACTGACACAAACATGCTTTTTTAATGTATACCTAAGAGTCCAATACAAGATGTATACACACAGAGATACACCTAATTATGTGTTTAATTCATTTAAGTAAATGGAAAACTGTCAGGCAGCAATGGGAACAAGATTTCAGCTGCCACAGAGAGTAAAAAACAGTCACAGGGGCTAGGTCTCCACAACCCTGTGGCATATTCACCACCACCATAACTCCTATTATAGGTCTAGTCTAAGATATACAGTCCACAACAACAATAATATTTATGTTTACTCAGTGAAAATAAGAGAGAATCCTGCACAAAACAGGTCCTGCTAAAACCAAAGAACACTTTCTGCCAGAGGGAGGTACCTGAAGTATTCTTAAAGTCTAAAAAGCTACATCAGGAGTACACAGGGACATGTCACTAACAATCAAGCTTTCCACCTCAAATACCCTTCAGGGCAATTAATTGAAGATAGGAGCTATTATTCGTTCTCTACTGGATCTCTTCTCTTGGTTTCAATACCTTACTTACAGTACAGAGCACCAGAAAAACAGACAAATCCATTAGCGAGTATTCAAAGCAGCTTTTACTCTGAACACATGCTAAAGCAAGCCAGAAATGTAAACCTGGTGTGGTAGATGAAATCTGAGGTGGTGCAAAACGCTGAGTATTGAAAGTATCAGCTAAGCAGCTCAAGCATAAACATAATTGAAGAAAGAGCACAGACACTTTCACACAGCACACAGTTACTTGATCAAAGACTCATCTTTAATCCATTCCAGCCCCACGTTGTCTGACATTTCACCTCACGGCTACCACTGTTTGTGCCAGCACTAGGATGCACAGGCTCTGCCATAAAATGCTCTCCATCCCTGGCTGGACTTTAAGAAAATCAAAATTCTATGTAAAAAGATGTAAAAAATTACTCAGTTTTGTTGCTGAAACTCCTGTTCCACACTGAAATTACCTCCCATACAGATACAGAAATATGACCAGTCAAAAATGAGAAAAACAGGACAAACTAGTGAAATATATTTGGTCCAAGGCAGCTTTGACTGCCTTTCTACTTTGAAGGAAAAAAAAAAAAGAAAATATTAGCCTTTAATTTGAAGAGACTGTGGTGTACAGTCAGAGGGGAAGATGGTTCTGTTTTACTCTTACCAGTCTGTGCTAAGTAAAAACATGTACTGAAGTAACAGCAAGCTACTCATTTTGCCCTGGCACCAGTTCTCTAATGACTTTCCCCAGTGCTGCCAGATATGTAGGGTGTGCTGGGCCCAATTGGCTACAGTGCATGTTCTGTAGCAGCTTGAAGTTAGGCTGTGAATAAATAAATCCTAATTTATTTATGGCTAAATCCAGTTGCATTCACTTGTTTAAACAGACTCTTATGGGACATATTGTAGCTAGCAAGATATTACTAATTGCTGGAATAATCAAAAACTCACAGTTAATTTAAATGTATTTAATGCCTTCTATTTATAGAACCATGCTTAATTCAATGGAAAACTTGGGCAAGTTTTTTTGTCCTGTTATTAATGTGAGTAACAAATGCTGGAAATATGTTATCACATATATAATGCACTCTTAATGTTCCTTTTTTATGTGAGTCCTAGTTCGAGACTGACTGAAGCATGGACTGGTGTGCAAGACATACTCTGCTACCTCTTGAAATTTTTCATTCAGGTTGACTTGAAAGTAATAGAGCCTGAGAAGGTGTGACAAGTGAACAGCCACACCAACAGTGATTCTTTCAAATGCTTTGGGACAACTACCATTTCCATACCAACAGTACACAGCTTTCAAGGGAAATGCCTTACTGGGGTCTTTATTTGTCAAGAACAGAAGACCTCAAACCATTTACTGAGCATCCCACTCTCCTGTAATTCAACAGTGGCAGCAATTTCCCTTTTACAGAAAAGTTATATGACACTTTTTTTGTGGGACATGAACAGATTCAATGTATTTCCAAGGATTTCTTGGAAAACAGTCTGGAAGACATGGCTGTCAACTCTTGGTAATATTTCACCAGGACCTTTCACCTTTACCTCTAAGTGATGTGGTCTATGCATCCTCTTGTATGCATCCACTGCAATCTCCACCAGGCCATGAAGAAAAGAGACAGGGAGAATGCAGGGTACAGATGTCTCATGTCAAACTCAGCTGTGTCAGCTGTTTTCAATACTTTATGCTCTTGATGATGAGTGGCATCAACCATATCATCTGTTAAACCAGATTCTGGTTCCAGTCAATTCACTTTTGCCCTGAATAACAGATAATCTGATTCAGCAGAGTTGCCCTACTATCTCTATGGCTATTTGTCATGTCCTCCTTAAAAGAAAGAAATTTGAAGTAATTTTGAGAATTAGGACTGAATGGCATAAATCTGCCTCTCAGGATGGGAACTAGAAGAGATAAATAGTAAGTCTCCTTTGCTTGAATTTCAGCCATATGTCTCTTGAAGGTCTGAAACACATAAAGAATGCACAGTCTGTATTTTAAGCTCCTCACCATTTGGACCAGAAAAGACTTCTGTCAAATGAGCTCTTGTGCCACTGTGATTTAAAAGAGAAAACTGGTCAAGTCTGTGAGCCATCATCCCATCTCTAAGGTACTGTTCTGGCTCAATATTTTTAGAATTTCACCAAAACGGGAGCCCTCAAGATACACAAAGGAGTACTTTGAAATTAATGTCTCATATCTTCTTGGTTTGTCAGTCTGGGTACAGATTTGAATGCTGAGAAGATGGGGGATTGAGAGTTCTCTTATGGCTATTCTGCTTAAATAGTGGCAGCATGCCCTGAAGACACCTTATTCTAAATACAAAAAGCACCACCACTGTTACAAAAAATGCAAAGAAAAAATAGATATAGCTTCAAATGTTTTACCAGATTAGCTATTAGATTCCAATTTAATACCATTCATTATGCCCCATATTAGCCTAGTGTCTAACAGTCACAGCCACAGATGAAGATTCAGCTGATCTAAATTTTACATTGATCATAAAGGTCCCTAGCCAAAGACCCTACAGTTTAAATACAGGTGATGATAGGCGGATAGGGATACCTGGGAGAAAACTAGGAAACAATAAAACAGCATCAGTCAGTGGGAGTAACTGTAGCAAAAATGACAGGGTTTACACTAGTTAATAGTTATAATTTGGAAGATATAACTTCCAAACAAAAACTGACTTTGCTAAACAGTTGGCGTTTTTTCTTTACTCTTTATATGTTACTACTGTTAGCATTTCTATTTATTTTGTCATGCTGCCTCCATCAGAGTTTGAAAAATACCTTGCCATGTTGCCTGTTGTTTATTGTGAGCTGAGGAGCAGACCAGCCTCCTCATAGCTACAGAAGTTAAATTTTCATTTAACACAGGGAAAAGTTTCTATCACTTGTGCATGTGAAAGCCTAGTTTTGAAAGCAAGCCCATGGACTCTGTGTCTTTGCCCTGTTGCAAACTGTCTGATGCAACAGCAGAACCTGCAGTAAATGAGTGCAGGGGATTTTCATATTCACTGAGGATGGTGCGAGCTGACTGGGTCACTGTGACACCAACAGAACTAGGTACCATTTCACTTTTCTAATGCACTTGCTAGAGAAAAACCTGAGATGATTAATACCAGAAAGGTTTCAAATACAAAACATCAAAACAGACTGATATTCCTGGGGAATGTGTGTCCAGGTGCCAGGAAGAATACACAAGACCATGCATGACAGCAGATCTCTTGCAGCTCAGAGCTGAAGTGAACTGCTCTATTAACTGAAAAAAAACTTTACCAGCTGGACACATTAGGAGAAAGGGAGTCTTCAAAAGCACATAGACACCTACAAGCCAAATGTAGTTAAGAATCAACAATCTGGAAGCTAATAGTGAAGGCTGATCCCTCCCTGCGTGCTATCCAGCTTCCTGGCAGGAATGCCACTGACCTTCATTTTCCCCCTAATAGACAGGGTGGAGAGTTAGGCTGGATCACATTGAAAAACTGCTGGGCTAGTGAGCCCATTATCTTTCACCTTTCCTTTTTTGTTTGTTTGTTGTAAATACATGTCTGATTGGGTTGTTCAGATGGCAGGACATCTGGTACAGTTTTCAGGCCCTGCTTTAATTTAATGATTTAACATCTAGTACACAGGCTTGTTTTACCACAGAAATTTTTTGCCTCCCACACTTTTCTTTCTAATTGGAACTATGTAAATCATAGGCTGACAGTGCTATATAAATCATCTCTAGTATGTCTGCTATTCATTTAAATAACAAATTGGAACTTTTTTTTCTATTTGTTACATCCTGGCCATAATAATTTGCACATATATGATAAAACTGGAGGTTTGCTGTGCTCTATTAATTTAGTTTATGAAGCACACAAAGAGAGCCTAACCATTCAGGCTTCAATAAGTAATTCTCCTATTGTTGCTGTAAGAGAAACACTGGGTTATGTACTGCAAGATCTCAAGTCAGTTAAGGCACAAGCTTGAGACATATTGCATAGCAGCCCAGGCATAAGTCCCACAGTGCTCCCCAGGTTCAGCCACTGAGCATCAGATAATGGAAGGCACTAAATTAATTAGAAAAGAAAGTGACCTAGCTCCATTCCCAGATGTGTCACTGACTTGTCATGTGCCTTGGGGCAAGCCACTCCCCGCAGCTGGGCTTCAGCTCTCTCTGCTTTGTCTGAGTGGTCTGCGTGAAAACAAATCCCTCTCCCCAGAGAAGAGGCGTGCCGTGAGCATGCAGTGCTCAAAAGCAGTAGGCACCCAATTGCAAACACATCCATTAAGCACTCTAGTGAACCCCAGCCACTTTGGTGTCATAGCATAAATAGTATTAATCATACCAATAGGAATTCATGAAAAAACCAAAATAAATTCATTGCTGTGTCAGGTGAGCTCATGTACTTTAAATATCAGCATATCCAGCATCAAGAAGAAAATAAACCTATTCTTTGTACATGGCAATTATTATTTAAAATGCTACTTTATCTCTGCACTTGAATTCTTGGTATTCTTTTGACTATTGTGACTATTGACTATTCTTTCTTCTATTACTAGTCAAGTAATATGAAAAGTATCACACAAAGGTTTAGGATTTTTCCATTATTAAGAAACAACAGTATACAGTAGGTCATGCTACCTTTAACAAGGGAACTTCTTCATCATAGACACAACTTAATAAAAGTCCTAAACGTGTGTTTCTTCGCTAATTTTTCCTTCAGGGATTTTTAAGATTTTGTGGAGTCATTTTTGAAATTAAAAGTTGACCTGGTCCTTATGTGGGAAACAAGGAAGGTCCTTATCTGGGAAAGGAAACACAGTCAGTGAGTCCTTAGCCTCATCACCACTGCTCTTCACTCAGCTTTTATGCTCCATCTGCTAGAAAAACAAAGTAGAAAAGGTATGCTGGCCCCAGCTCTGCATATATTCATCCACCCTTTCTAGTCGTTACCCTGGCTGTGGGCAGTTTTTATTTGGGCCAGACAACTTTCTCCTAGTCCCAAGACTTGATTCATGGGTTAGCAAGGGACAGAAAATTTCTCCCACAGACAGGGTGGGTGTGGCTGGCATGTCTGAAGGAGAGGAAAGCCAAGGTGGGCCAGCATCCCTCTGGAGAGAGACCTGTCCACAGCTGTAGCACCAGCCAGGGCAGGGAGCTATGGGAATGCTCCCTGTGATGGCAATCCACACAGCCCACAAGAGGACAGCTAAACAAACATCTAAAGGGCAAACTTAAACATGCCTCTCACCAAGATTTTGTCCTTTCTATCCACACTGACAGTTGTTTGAGTCCCCCTAAAGTTTCAAAGTAGCTGAGCTGAAGATATCTGCACTGAACATTCAGCACTATGTTGACTAGAATAAAGATGGCAACTTAGAAGGTTCTAAGTTTTCTCACTGAAAAGTAAGAAATCAGATCTTAAACCTGCACTCAGGTTGGGAGCCGAAGAAAACAGTGCAGTGCTCACAAAAGCAGCTTTTAGGGAGTTTAAATGTACTGAAATCAAGCCATTTTTGTGGTTATAATTTTAGACTGCAGGAGAAACTGAGCATGACACCCCCACAGTGTATTTAGAATAAACAAATAGTGTGACATAATATCAAGCCAATATTGCTAAAAAGGGCCTGATGGGAGACAGCTCTTGGGTGTCTACTAAATCATCAGCAGGTTAGAGTAGCCCCAAAAAAAAGATCACAAACTGTTCTAGAGACTAGTCTTCAGTTTGCTATCAAAGCTTTGTGTACTTGGATTATTATGCAGAGAATTGACATTGAGAGCATCATGAGTGGAAAAAGAACTGGTTACAGAAACTTCCATCCTGGCATTTCTAGGTGGCTCAGGAAGAGCTTTCTTCAGCTGAGGAAAAGGATTCAGAGTCTCAGCTTCCTGCACAGGCAAACTTTTCAGCTTAAAAGCCATACTCCTGGTTTACACACAGCATCTCCCACTTTCTCCCGTGTCACCTGAGCAGCTCTGTGTGTGCTGAAACAGAAAAACCAACCGAGAGTGCAGCCAGCCTTTGTCTGGGGGATAAGCACATCATCTATCTACATGCCAGCTCACTTCGGCTGAGGGGAGGCAGAAGGGTGTAAACCTCCTAGCAGACAGTTGAGAAGAGCACTCCAGCAGAGTCCACCTGCCTCCCAAAATTCACACCCCAAAGGATGAACTGCTTGAAAGGGCCCTAAGCCACAAAACGTATTTCTCCTTTATTCTCTCCTTCTGCCTTCCAGGCTGCTGCCCAGCCCCCTGTGGGCAGCGCCGGGTGTGTCCCTGCTGCCCACCCTCTCTCCCTCTCCGCTGGCACCGCTTTCCCACGCATTGCCCGGGGGGAGAAGGGGTTGAGGTGGGCGAGTGGCTCTGCTTTTACCTGCTCTGGTCCCAGTTGGCAGCAAAAAGGACGAGGATCTTCCTGCCGTAGTGGTCCAGGTTGGCCAGCCCGCCGGGGAAACCATCCTTCAGCGCTTGCTTGATGCCCGGGTCTGTGGCCTTGAAGCTCTTAAACATGTCCAGGTTCTGCTGTCGATATTCAAAGTATTGGGCCAGGAGGCGAAACGCCTCGAAGTGCTGAAACTTCCTGGCCCGCAGAAACCGCAGGATGAAGGCATCGTCGGTGCGGAGGAAGCCGATGTCCGGCCGGGTGATGACCATGTCCCGCACCTCCTGGATGTCCTGGTGCAAGGTGTCGGGGTTCTCGTTCAGCTCCAGCCGGGCTTTCTCCAGAGTCTCCGGGGAGAGACCTGCCTGCAAATGAGTCATGGCGCTGCCCTCCTCCTCCTCCCCGGCTCTGCTGCCTGCGCTCCTCAGCCTCCCGGCCGCTTGCCCCCCGGAGGCGGGCTGCCCCGGCACGGCCGCCCGCCNGCCGGGCCTCGCCCCGCCGCTCCCCGGCCCCGCCGCCGCGGCCAGTCCGTCCGCCGAGCTGCGAGCGGCTCCCCGGCAGCCGGGTCCCGGCGGGGGCTGGCACCGAGACTGCCCCCGGGCTGCGGGCGGAGGCGCGTTATCTCTCTGACATAGCGCCCTCCCCGCCGCGGGGTCCAACGCGCCGCATCATCCCCGCAGCCGGTCCGCGGAGGCGCCGAAACCCGCCGGGAACGGGGCTGCGGGCTGCCGGCTGCTGCTCACCGCCCGCCCCCGCCGGTGCCGCTGCCGGGGCGGATCTCGGGCAGGGCGGCAGCGAGGAGCCCGGTGGCTAGGCAGGGCGAGCGGCGCCCGAGGATGCTCCCCTGGCCCGCGGCTGGCAGGGGAGATGCTCTCCCCGGAGCAGCACCATTTACGTAAGATCAGCGCTCACCCCGCTTCAGAAGCGTCTCCCTGGATTTGAGGGAGGGTTAAGAATGTGGAAAAACAAAAAATTAAAAAAAAAAAAAAAGCTCCACCACCACCAAACTGAAAGAAGCCAGCGAGGAGGAGGAAAGCCGATCCGCAGGTACTTCGCCGGTACAGCTGCCTCCCGCTCGCCGGAAAGCCAAACGGAGCCTCGGCCCGGAGGATGCTCGTGCCCCCCTCCCGCGCCCTCCTCCGCTCCCGCCCCGCTCGCAGACGGCACCAGCCGGCGCGGGGCTGCCCGCTGCGCGGCCCCGCCTTGTGCGCGCCCCCGCCCGGGCCCGCTCCCGCTGCCGNGCTCCCGGCGGCGGAGCAGGGCGCGTCTGCAGCGCCGCGCCGCCGGGGCTGTGCGGATGGAGATGGTGGTGGCCCGGTGCGGGGCGGTGGCCGGGGGCTGCGGGGTGGTGGGACACGCGTACGCCCCCACGGAGCATCCCGCGGCAGTCAGACCAAGAGTCCGGTCTCGAGGTCGTGACAGCAGCGAGATGTTGTTCATCAAGCCGTGGTTTTCCGAGCAATCCTCTTTTGTGACCGAATTTCCTAACGTGAAGCACTGTGAGCTTGAAAATCTGGGAATAAAATAAGGCAGCCCTCTTTTGTGGCCTCGTGTTGGAGGCTGCATGTCTTTAGTTGCATTATATTGCAAAGGGCAACAATATCTTGCTTCTGTGTGCAGAATATTTCCTTGAGGAAAGATGTCTGTTTTCATGCAGGAAAGTTTGATGCTGCAGTCTCTTTTGGGGAAAAGTTTCCACTGAAAAGCATTTGACCTTTGTCTCTAGGACTGGACCTTCCCCATGCAAATGCGCCTGTGAAAATCAAGCTTACACAAAAGGCACGGCAAACGTGGGAAAGCCTGCAACATGTACCTCCTCCTCCTCCTTCCATTGGGAAGGGCAGCTCTTGGGTACTGCATTGGGCTCCTTTCCCAAGGTGACAAAGCCAGAGCACACAGGCTGAATTACTGACAAAGCACTGAGGCTGCTGCTCCATTCAGAGGGTGTGTATGGAGAATACACCAGAACAAAGTAGAGGATGGGCTCTCAGACAAATAGCGGGGCTCATAGAGACATTTCAGTGATAGCCTGCAGGCCAGTATCAGGTGCTTGGCTGCAGGAGGGAGCCCTCTGCAGTGAGCAAGGTCCAAGCAGTGAGCAAAGCTTCAGGAACAAAATTGGTGTTCTTTTGGAAGCTAAAGAGAGGTTTTTTTGGGTTTACTGGATTTTATATGGGTTCCTGCACTGGGATCAGACTTCCCATGTCCTAGTTTAGGGAGAAACTTTTGGAAGGAGCAGTCTAATAATGCCCAGTCATTGTGCCCCACCTCTGTTCAATCTGAATTTCATTATGTGATTTGAGATGTTTCACAAGAGAGAAAGATATGCTATCTATCTAAGGACTGAATCACTCTCTAAAAATGCTTTTTTTCTCTTTGTCTGATAAAATGACTTCAAATTACCCCCCTTTTGTAGATGTGATTCATCTGGGTTGATACCTTTTTCTTAGAGCAGTTATTGCTCCTGAAATAGTTTGTGTGCTTTTTTTATTATTTTCTATTATTCTGAAATCTTCATTTCCCTTTGCTCTTACTATCTTCCTCTACATTACCTCGTCAGCGAGCCTTTCAGAATAGCAGTTCCCATCGCCCCTGTGGAACAAACTGCCAGACTTTTCCTGCTATCATTTTCCATTTCTGATGCTTCTGCTCTGCCTTTTCCATTGCAACTAAGCTAATAAAGGAGTGGGTCATGTGACAAGTGCCTTAAATTCACTTGGTGCGAGGCAAGCCCCAGGCATCCAGTGTCTGGCAAAATCAAGTCCATAATGTATCCTGTCTGTGACCTTGTAGTGGGATCATGCTGGCTGAATGCCAGACACCCACCAAAGCCACTTCTCCCTCCCCTCCACAGCTGGAGAGTGGAAAGAAAATATAACAAAGGGTTCATGAGTTGAGATAAGGACCAGGAGAGATCACTCATCAAATACTGTCATGGGTAAAACAGACTCGAATTAGAGATATTAATTGAATTTGTTGCTAAGAAAATCAGAGCAGGATAATGAGAAGTAAAGTAAGACCTTCTCTGCACCCTTCCCCCCTTCTCTCCTCCTCCCCCAGTGCCACAGGGAGACAGGGAATTTTATGGTCAGGAGACCAGGAAGATTATGGTCAGTTCATCACATATTGTTTCTGCAGCTGCTCAGGGAGAGGAGTCCTTTCCTTGCATCAGTATGATGTCCCTCCCACAGGAGACAGTTCTCCATGAATTTCTGCAATGTGAGCCCATCCCACAGGCACAGTCCTCCTCAACGTGGGTCGCTCTTCTACAGGGTGCAGTCCTTCAAGGACAGGTTGCTCCAGTGTGGGTCCCCCATGGGATCACAAGTCCTACCAGGAAACCTGCTCCAGCATGGGCACCTCTCTCCATGGGTCTGCAGGTCCCTACCAGGAGCCTGCTCCAGCACAGGCCTCCCATGGGGTCACAGCCTCCTCTCAGGCATCCGCCTGCTCCAGTCTGGCTCTCCTCCGTGGGCTGCAGGTGGATTCTGCACCACTGGAGCTCCATGAGCTGCAGGGGCACAGCTGTCCCACCATGGTCTGCACCATGGGCTGGAGGGAAATCCCAGCTCTGGTGCCTGGAGCACCTTCTGCCCCTCCTTCTGCACTGACCTTGGTGTCTGCAGGACTGTCCCTCCCACATGTTCTCACTCTGCTCTTCTCTGGCCACAATTACAACTGTGCAGAAATTCTTTTTCCTCTTGTTAAATCTGTTATCCCAGAGGCACCACCACCATTTCTGATGGGCCCCGCCTTGACCAGCAGCACATCCATCCTGGAGCTGGCTCCATTGGCTCTGCTGGACGTGGAGGAAGCTTCTGGCAGCTTCTCACAGAAGCCATCCCTGTAGCTCCCCTGCTACCAAAACCTGGCTGTACAAACCCAACACAGACTTCTAGTCACACAATCCTTAATCTGCTATAGTTTTCTTTTGCAAATGAAAACATAATACATATATTAGATTTTTCTCCTTTACTCCAGAGCCTAAATGCACTGAATAGACAAAATAAGCAAGCTGACCAAAATTAAAAGGTTAAAAATTTTGACAGGAAAGGCTATTTCCAAAGGCTCTTAATTAAAAAAAAAAAAAAAAAAAAAAAAAAGGAAAGAAACAACAACAACAACAAAAAGGATAATTTATCTGGAAACTTTCATTATTGTTCCATTTTTTGGTTTTCCCCATTTTGACCATATTTAAGACATTCTTCTTACCATTTTTAAAATTTAAAAAGGTCCAAAAAACACAGGGAAAAGTATGATAAAGGATAAAGAAATACTGAAGCCAAATAAATTAAATTAATCAAAAGCTCTCCATTTTCTACACATTTCCTCTTTAAAGACAGGTTCAGTCTCCATAAAAATTGAGTTGATAATGTAATAATTTTTAAATTTTACCTTGCCATATAAAGATAAGATTTACTGAACTTGAGCAGCATTTTAAGAAAATCATTTTGGCAATGAATTGTTGAAAGACAGATCAAAACACCCTTGTGGAGGGCAGTGTGGAGGTGGAAGGAGGTGCTTTAGCCAGCTCTTTCCTGAAGTGAGTAGATTTAGGGAGTGGACACTATGAAAAGCACACGTAGCAAGGCAGCCTGAAGGCAGAGTAGGTGAAAGAATAAGATATTGGTCATGTTCTATCTGAGCCACAGATAATAATATTTTTTTTCAATATTTTGAGATCTTGCATGTAAACATACAAAAGATCTGGTTTAAATATAAGTAACTTGGTAGAAAGAATAAAAAAACTCTGTTATCTATAAACAGATTTTTCAAACAAATTAAGTAGGATAATGAAAAAATATGTGCTTTCCAACATGTTACCCCACCTAAGTCACAAGGGGAAAAATGGAGCCCCCAATGCAATTAGATGCAACCTACTGATGGCAGATTGTAATTTATTTATTGTGCACATGCACTTTCCCTCTATAAAACAGTAGGGGTGTCTGACTAAATCCATTATGTAAATCTCAGCATCTTTTCACTTGCATTTAGAAACTATTTTTCTTTGAGCCTTTTATAGTCACTTTTGCCTGAACTTGATGCAATTAAAATCCAAGTGCTCTGCAGTTCTACAAGCACTGCAGTAGGCGCCTGATTTGAAATAAAACAAACACAAGGTACAAAGGTGTTTGTGTAGGTGTTTGATATCAGAGATCTTAACTCACATTCAGAATTAAATTGTTTAAAATCAGCAACAGACCAGTGTATTCATGAACAGAAATAGAATGCTTAGAAAGTTTCTAAGAAAACTTAGAAAAAAATAATGTTGGTGGATAAGAAAATAACTGTATTAAGACCAATGCTGGTACCACATTTTCTCTGAACTTTTTTAAGATCCTAGACAATTCTTGCTGTTGTTTTTGATTTAGAGTAACATTGTCCTCAGCATCCTGCTCTGGGTATTCCTTCAGGACAGTTGTTCACTTAGGATCAAATTTCCAAGACAGTTTGTCCTACATAGCTGTGATATAGCTAAAGAGCTGAGAAATATATTTGAAAGTATGTATGACCAGGAATGTGCACGCTCACATCCTCCTCTCAGCAGTGTTTTTGTGGGTACATACTAAGGGTGTCCTTGAAGCTTTTGAGAAGTGCTAAATACAACTTTGTGGAAAGCACCTAAAAGAAACCTAAATCAAAACATGCTCAATTTAAAGTCTTGGTCCTGTTTTCCGAATCAACTTAGAAACTTCAGTCAAACATTTTAAGAGCATAACAACTATAGGTCTGAACAAGCATCTTTGTCAGTTCATAGTGTGCCACCCACCAGATTAGGTTGGTCAAAGCCCTGTCCAAATGGGCCTTGAACACTTCCAGAGATGAGGCATCCATGACATTTCTGAGCAACATGTCCCAGTGTCTCATCACCCTCACAGGAGAGAATTTCTTTCTAATCTAAACCCACCCTCTTTCAGTCTAGCACCATTAACCCTTGTTCTATCACTTGTGAAAAGTAATCCTTAACCCCTGTCACAAGTCCCCCTCCAGCCCTTACAGGCCCCCTTTAGGTACTGGAAGGCTGCTATAAGGCCTTCTCAGAACCTTAATGATCTTGTTCATGACCTTGTCTACAAATAACAAAAAACTTCACCGTTTCAATCTCAGTGGAAGCCACTTGAAGCTGAGGATGAGCTCATATCTCGTTCTGTAACTAGGTGAGTTAGAGGAATGCAGCCCTGTCTCGGA